AAATGGCGGCAGAGATAGGGGAGTTTTGCTTTTCGGAGAAAATTTGGGATATTTTTAAATGTAGTTTTAGGACACTTGCCAACCCCACAGCCAGTCGACTTCTATGGAGAGATGATGTGTCTCAACACAAAGTATTACCTGGTATAAAAATTTTCCCTGATTTTAGGGTAATTTTTGAGATAGGTCCTAAAAAGTAGAAAAATATTTTTTGGACATTTCAAACAAAAGAATGATGAAAATCTGTCAAAAACAATCCCCCTATTGATTTTAGGTGTTTTTTGTCAGAATTATCTGGCAACACCTTACATCAGTTTTCTTAGAGAATAGTACTAGAAGGAGTCACTGAGGCTCTATACAATGTATGAACGAAATGTTTCTGTCACTAGGGTGAATACGTCAAAAGTATTATTAAAAAGTAAAAATCTAAGATGGCGGCCGAGTTAGGGTACTTAATATATGTTGACAATTTTAGGGACTTTTTAAAATTCAATTTTGGGGTACCATTAATCCTTGCAGCGAGTGGACTTTTATGGAGCAGTGGGAACTCTCGATGGGGAATATAACCTGGTCTAAAAAAATTCCCCGATTTTGGGGTAGTTTCGGAGAAAAATTAAAATACGTGGGAATTTTTTTTTCCTTAAGTTGAACAAAACAGTTATGAGCGTTGGTCAAAATCATCCCCCAAAGGGTCCTAGGTGGTTTTTGTCAAAATCTTCTGGCAACACCCATACACCAACATAAGAGTGACGGGGATCTATAATAAATCTCATCTTAATAGTTTCATGCGATTACTTTGTAAAATTAGGTGGCAACACCAAGCATACATTTCTGTATACTAATACAGAAAGGTAGGTAATGTGAGGTTTTGTATTGTGACCATTGCAATAAAATAAAAATAAATTAAAGCCACAGGTCGAAATGGTATACAGAAAGGTAGGTTAAGTTAGGTATGGTATTGCGACTCTTACAGTAGAAATTATGGCCTCAGAATAATATAGTAAACAAAAAGGTAGGTTAGGTTAGGTTTCGTATTATGATCTCTACATTAAAAACTTTGACCCCAGATTAATATAATATACAGAAAGGTAGGTTAGGTTAGGTTTTGTATTGTGACCATTACAATACAAAGTTTCGTCACAGGATAGTACACGTGAAACAAAAATTCACTGTTACAATAGGAAGTCATCTAATCGTATCAAAACAGACAACTCTACTTGCCAACCAAGTCTATTCGAAAAGAAAACCGTCTTCACAAAATAAGTTTAGTGACGTTTTAAAACTCATTTTTGGGGTACTATTTTATTCCTTACAGCAAGTTACTTCTATGGAGCAAAGACGTGAAGTATTATATATGTAGGCTACAAATTTTCCCCGATTTTTGGGTAATTTTGCAAACCTTAAATGTGGGAAATTATTTTTCGACATTTAAACATAAAAGTGACGGGGATCTATAATAAATCTTATCTTAATAGTTTCATGCGATTACTTTGTAAAATTAGGTGGCAACACCAAGCATAATAGTAGAAAGTAATATTTACTAAGGACCGACTAAAAGGACCGTGTCTCTGTACAATATATGGACGAAATATATCTGTCGTCATGTAATATATATGTCAGAAGTAACAAAATGGAAAAATCTAAGATGGCCGCCGAGGTTGACTTTGAACAAAATTTGGAAGATATTTTATTTTGGTACATGGTTACCATGCAGCGAGTCCTCTTTTATGGGATGGCAATGAATCTCAGTATTGCCAGCGCTAAAAACTTTCCCCGATTTTAATATTTATGATATTTTAATTAAAAGAGTGTTGAGTGGTTATTATTTATCATAGGTCCTTTACCTACGATAAATAATAACTAAAACTTTTATCAAAATTATTTGGAAAACTTTACTATGAAAACCGATGTAAGTTGTTACAACGGTTTTCATAGTAAACTATTAGAAGAAGTTGACAATGTATGGACGAAATGGTTTTGTCACCCGGGTAGCTAAACCAAAATAAAAAAAAATAAAAAGTCGATATGGTATATAGAAAGGTAGGTTAGGTTAGGTTTTGTATTGCGACTCTTACAGTAGAAATTATGGCCTCAGAATAATATAGTAAACAAAAAGGTAGGTTAGGTTAGGTTTTGTATTATGATCTCTACATTAGAAACTGTGAACCCAAATTAATATAGTATACAGAAAGGTAGGTAATGTGAGGTTTTGTATTGTGCCTATTGCAATAAAAATTAAAGCCACAGGTCGAAATGGTATACTGAAAGGTACGTTAGGTTAGGATTTCTATTGCGACTCTTACAGTAGAAATTATGCCCTCAGAATAATATAGTAAACAAAAAGGTAGGTTAATCTCTACATTAAAAACTTTGACCCCAGACTAATATAGTATACAGAAAGGTAGGTTAGGTTAGGTTTTGTATTGTGAACATTACAACACAAAGTTTCGCCACAGGATGAAACAAAAATTCACTGTTACAATAGGAAGTCACCTAATCGTATCAAAAGAGACAACTCTACTTGCCAACCAAGTCTATTCGAAAAGAAAACCGTCTTCACAAAAAAAATCAACGACTTCGCCTCGCGGGCCTCTTGAGGCCCGCGCACACACGCACCCTCTAGTTTTTTAATAAATTCCTATCATCCCTATTGAATGGTAGTTTCAATTGGAACCCTCAATAGCAGCTTTTTGACCTCACGGTACCTATTTGTTCATTGGTCGTCTTCGAGCCGAACGTGTTAACCAAGTTCAAGGTGGTACCAGTTCAACTCCTAAGTCGCAGTGGATTGCTGTGGAAAGGAGTTCCCTTGACTCAAGTGCAGCAAGTAGTACGAGCAGTCGGCGGTTCTACGGTGGCGCCACCTACCGGACGTCGGCGGAACTAATTGCGGACGGCGCGCGAGCAGTCGTCAGGAGAAGAGTCAAGGGCGGAGGAAAGTATTACGTCACAGTGCCATCAGTGTGTGAGTGGAATGTGAAGTGAAACCGTGAGTACATTTAAATTATTAAAAATTCAATGATAGGCGAAATTGAACCTTATATCAAGCGAAGAGAAGAAACATAAAAAATAAATAGCTGTTTAATAAGCTGAACTAATTTCAACCTTATTTGCAAGAGATCAAAAACTTTGAATATTTAAGTGTCTATTTGGGACTTGTAATATTTTCATATAGTTTTAATAGTTATTAAGTGTAGTTTTAGACTTAGAATTGTAAGCGAAAAAACGAAGGTACGGGGAACCTATGCCCAATTTTCCCTAGGTTTCTCAAACACTTAGAAAAATTTTGAAAATTTTTAACTTACAAAATTTCTCATATATATTTATTAGATTATCTATTATACCTACAATAATACAAAGTAAATATTAATGCCATTTACATATAAGTAGCAGTAAAATAGTACAAACTTTTACTTTGAATAAAAATAGTTTTTCTTTTATATTTTTTTTTATTTTATTATTGAATAGTAAACTTAGTGGTAAATAAAAAACATGGATCCGTTATTTAATATACAAAATGATATCAATTTAAGATTGAATAAATATAGAACTAATTTTAAAAAGAGTCCGAAGGAACGTATTACACAAGAATATTTAGATAGTAGATTACAAGCATTAGAAGAGTTATGGTTAGAATTTAAGGAGGGCCATAAAGAAATATTAAAAATAGCTGCTCCTGGTAAATTAAATAGTCATGAGTATGTAACAGAACAATTGTTTGATAAATCAGAAGAGTTGTATTTCGATTATAAATGTGAATTGTTAAAGTTGTTAAAAAGTTTTGAAAATAAAAATAGTAGTAGTGTCAATGTATCCAATGATGTTGTAAATGTTAAGTCGAGCCATGTTAAATTACCCCGCATCATTATTGGTAGTTTCTCAGGAAAATACACAGAATGGCCAACATTTAGAGATTTATTTATTTCGATGATTCATAATAATGACTCATTAGATAAAGTTCAGAAGTTACACTATTTAAAAGGATATTTAACGGGTGAGGCGGAACAACTTGTTCGACATATTCAAGTATCAGAATGTAACTATGATCTTTGTTGGAAACAATTAGAAGAACGTTATAATAACAAGAAGTACTTGTCTCATTGTATATTAAAAAGACTACTTAGTCAAAAAAATGCGTCCTAGATGACTCTCATCTAGTTTTTTAAAGGAATTACTAGATACATCGTCGGAGTGTTTGAGTGCCTTGTCTAATATTGGTATTAACGTAAGCTCATGGGATATAATTGTCATTCATGTATTAACTTTAAAACTTGACCCTGAATCCCGTAAACAGTGGGAGCTTAACGTCACTAGTAATACTAATTCCGATTCGTTGCCTACATTTAATCAATTTAAAGAATTTTTAACTAGTAGATATAGAGCACTAGAGTTTGTAGAACCACACAATAAGAAATTTGAGAATAGATGTTCACTTAATAATCCTGTAAAAACAAAGGCACTACATGTTACAAATGTTACAAATATAGCTTGTGAATTTTGTTCAGGCAATCATAAATTGTGTTTTTGTAAACAGTTTGCTTCTGAGAGTTATAACAAAAGACATGAATTTGTAGTTAATCAACGTATTTGTTTCAACTGTTTAGGGAGTAACCATTCGGTAAAATTTTGTCGAAAGCCCATTAGTTGTAGAATATGCAAGAGACGTCACCACTCTCTTCTCCATCCTCAAGCAGGGTCGTCAACCGTTAATCAAGGTAGCATAGTACAAACGGTTGATGCGATTCCTTCTACGAGTCAGGAAATTGGTAATGCTTCGAGTGGACCAATTGTCTCTTGTTTTAGTCAAAATAAAGTTAGTACAATATTATTAGCTACTGCTTCAGTTAATATTAAAACAAGAACCGGGGAGTATAAGATGGTTCGAGCCTTGATTGATCAGGGATCACAAGCTTCTTTTATTTCGGAATCCATAGTGCAGGTGTTCGGTTTAAAAAGATTCCTACAAAAGGAACAATATCTGGAATTGGAGGTAAAAGTTCAGTTGTTTCAAAATATATTGTCATGCTAAAGTTAAAATCAACAACAGATCCATCCTTTACAATGGACGTAAAGGCTTATGTTTTAAAGCAAATTACTTCATACTTACCTGAGTCACGTGTGTCTATTGGCGATTGGGATGAATTCAAGAACATTAGCTTAGCAGATCCGCATTATGATACACCTAATAAAATAGACGTATTATTAGGGGCTGAAGTGTACAGTCAGATTATTAAAGATGGAGTAATAAAGAGTTTTGCGGGATCTCCAGTTGCCCAATGTACTTCACTAGGATGGATTTTGTCTGGTCCCATTAATTCTGTAAGTCCTGGTAAACAAAGAATTGTTAATGTTGTTATGCATACTCACGTCCAAGAAGATGACGCGTTGAAACGTTTCTGGGAGATTGAAATGGCGGATAATTGCTGTAAGAAAATATTAACACTAGATGAACAAAAGTGCGAAGACATTTTTGTTGCAACTACAAAAAGAGATTCTGATGGTAAATATATTGTTAAGTTACCATTTCGTACGGATGATCCTCCTTGTAAAGGCGGTAATTCCAGAGAAATAGCTATCAAGCGTTTTTATAATTTAGAGAAAAAATTAGCAAAGGATAACAAGCTTAAGAATGAATATACTAAAGTGATAAATGAATATTTGTCTATGAACCATATGAAATTAATAAAACAGCCAGATTATAAAGCAAATGAGTCAGTTTACTTACCTCATCATGCCGTGGTACGTGAAGATAAGTCTACCACCAAAACAAGAGTTGTGTTCGATGCATCCTGCAAAAATGAAAACGGTATATCATTAAATGATACATTATTAGTAGGACCTACGATACAAGGCGAGTTACGTCACCTTATTATGCGCTGGAGAAGCTATCCCGTATGTTTAACTGCGGACATAATTAAAATGTATAGAATGATTAAAATAGCAGAAGAAGATAATGATTATCAACGAATTATATGGAGAGAGAATATAAATGATGAAATAAAAGACTACAAATTATTAACTGTCACCTTCGGAACATCATCAGCTCCCTTTTTAGCAGTCAGAGCACTTAATCAGGTGGCTTATGATGAAGGAGAAAGGTATCCTTTGGCTGCAGCACGGGTTGCTAAAAAGTTCTATATGGATGATTTAATGACCGGAGGAGAAACAGTACAGGAATGTTTACAAATATATCATGAAATGAATGAACTATTAATGAAAGCGGGATTTAAATTACAAAAATGGAATAGCAATAAAGATGAAATTATGGAGGTAATACAAAATGATAAAGAGAGAGAAGGAAGAGAAAAGGAGATTAGTAATACAGATACAAAAATAGAAAATATAGAAATAAAAACAGATAATACTATTAACATATTAGGACTTACCTGGAATAGAAACCGCGATGAATTCCAATATTCAGTGAAGTTGCCGCCGCTGTCCGCACCTGTAACTAAAAGAAAAATATTGTCAGATGTAGCTAGGTTATATGACCCGATGGGTTGGATAGCACCTAGTGTAGTAATAGCTAAAGTAATGATACAGAAACTCTGGTTGGCCGGTTTAGAATGGGATGAAGAAGCACCTAAAGAGTTAATAAAAGAATGGCTTACTTACCGTTCAGAACTGCCACAACTTACTGCATATAAAATTCCCCGATGGATGTACACTAAGAATGATAATGTCAGCGTTGAATTGCATGGCTTTAGCGATGCATCTCAAATAGCATACGCAGCTGTGGTATATGCTCGAATTATAGATTCGAGTGGAGTAGTACACGTGTCATTAGTTAGTTCAAGGAGCCGAGTAGCTCCTATAAAACAAATTAGTATACCACGCTTAGAACTCTGCGGTGCAGTATTGTTAGCAAAATTACTAGTAGAAGTTGCAGATATATTAGTTGTTCCAATAACAAACGTAAAGGCATGGACCGATTCCACGGTAGTATTGGCTTGGTTGAGTAAGCACCCGAGTAGTTGGAAGACCTTCGTAGCGAACAGGGTATCGGAGATATTAACAGTTTTAGATTCCTCTCATTGGTATCACGTGTCATCCAAACAAAACCCTGCGGATTGTGCCTCTCGAGGATTGAGTCCATCGCTTCTTATCGCCCATGATCTTTGGAATTCCGGTCCTGAATTTTTATGGAATAAAGATATAGAATATTCTAAATTAAAATGCAATGAAACTCATTTGGAAGAAACTGTAAAGGTACATCATATAACTATAGAGAATTTTATTGTAGATAAATATTCGGATCTTACAAAAGCTTATTAAAATTATAGCATGGTGTAGACGTATTATTACAAAACAAAGGATTTTAGCAGAGAATGGACAATTAAATTATTTAAACAAATGGGAACTGGATGAAGCATTAATGTGTTGTATTAAATTGTGTCAACAAAGAGAATTTTCACAGGAAATATTAGAACTGAAAAAATATGGACAAATTAAAATAAAGACAAGCAAAATAACTAATTTAAGCCCATTTATTGATAAAGATAGTGTAATTAGAGTTGGAGGGAGAATTCAGCAGTCACTGGAAAATAATAATGTAAAGAATCCTATTTTACTACCTCATAATTCGCACTTAACACACCTTATTGTAGCCAATGCTCACAAAAAAAACGCTGCATGGTGGTCCACAACTAATGCAGAATTACTTACGTACAGCTTATTGGATTATCAGAGCAAAAAATGTAGTTAAACAGTACGTACGCAAATGCATAACATGTATAAGGCATAAGGCAAGAACACAAACTCCATTTATGGGTAACTTACCTTCTGTTCGAGTTACTCCTGCACGTGCATTTTTATGTAGCGGAGTCGATTATGCGGGTCCGATAAATTTAAGAACATCAAAAGGTCGAGGTCATAAATCGTACAAAGGATATATATGTTTGTTTGTGTGTATGGTGACAAGGGCAGTCCATCTTGAGGTAGTGAGTGACTTGTCAACTAAAGGTTTTATTGATGCATTTAAACGGTTTGTATCGCGTCGTGGTTATTGTTCTGAGCTATGGAGCGATAATGGATCAAATTTTGTAGGTGCTTCTAAAGAATTAAAAGGTTTATTTAATGTAGAAAATTCGTCGATGTCCAAGGAAATAGCTGAAATTTTAGCTACAGATGGTACTTCATGGAAGTTTATACCTCCTAGGACACCTAATTTTGCTGGTTTATGGGAGGCAGGGATCAAGTCCACAAAATTCCACGTAAAACGCGTGATTGGGGACGCTACTTTAACATTTGAGGAAATGTCTACACTTCTGTGCCAAGTGGAGGCATGTTTGAATTCGCGCCCAATTTCAATAATGAGTAATAATCTAGAGGAACCATTACCATTAACTCCGGGACATTTTTTAATAGGAGAACCTCTAGTAAATGTTCCTTCACCAAATTATGAAAACTTAAATATTAGTTCATTAAAAAGATGGCAATTGGTTCAACGAATGCTACAACACTTCTGGCGTAGATGGTCCAATGAGTATTTGTCACATTGTATGCAAAGATATAAGTGGACACATCAAATTCCCGAACCTCAAATTGGCGATGTTGTCTTGATTAAAGAGGATGATTTGCCTCCAACTAAATGGCTTTTGGGTAAAATTGTCGCAAAACATACTGGAGCTGATAATATTACGCGTGTAGTTACATTAAAATGTAAAAATTCTCAGATCAAACGCCCTGTTTATAAAGTATGTATATTGCCAGTTACTGATGATAATAGTAAGGTGTAAAATGATTTGTTATTTACATATATAAATACTTGATACATGTTTAACCTACTAGATGTATTGTTTTAGATGAATTTAAGTGAAGGACTTTGTTTTCGTTTATTGTTTTATTTATACAGTCTACTATGGAGTTAGTCATAATTGTATATTATAGAATTTGTTTGAAAAATGTATTTAGGTTTATAAATATAACTTTTAATGGTTCAATTTATTTTGTGCTTAGGTTATTCATGGTGGGCGGTTGTGTTGTTTATAATAAGATTGTTAAGGCCATGGTGTCCTTGGTGGGCGGTATGTTTAAGATAGATACGAATGTGTAATATTAGTTCACTCCATGCAAACTAGATGGCGCCACAGGTAAATGTAGATGGCGCTATTAAGATTTTTTTTGTTTTAATGACCTCCCTATAGTAATATTTTTTAATAAATTCCTATCATCCCTATTGAATGGTAGTTTCAATTGGAACCCTCAATAGCAGCTTTTTGACCTCACGGTACCTATTTGTTCAATTATTTGTATAAAAACTTTTGCACTTTTTATTTACTATATTTATTAAACACAATGAACGAGACTTATGAATATGAATAATACGAATCTATGCCTTGCTTATGTGTGAATGTAAAGGATTTTTCTATAATAATGTGGGGTAATGTAATTTTGTTTCTGTGTAGAGGATGTATGACACTTTTTGAGTAAGAATTGACAAGATAGTATGATCATTAGTCGTGTTTCAACCACATTTAAATCATATATTTTCTGTTGTCCCATATTTGGATACCATGTATATGTAATAATTCGAGTTTACAAAGCAGTAGCGACACAAAAACGGTGTCAAATGCCTTGGTGAGATCTACGAAAATAGCCAAATATTTTTGACCTTCATCCAGTTTTATAGAAACTAAGTTGGTTAGCTCATAGATAAGCATATGATTTACTTATGCGGAAACCATATAGATTTTGCGATAATAGAGAGTATTTTTCTAGATAGTGTACAAGTCCATTATTGATAATGCGTTCGAGTATTTTTAAAATAGATTATTTGAAAACTTTTGGAAATTGGCTCATGGTTAGGGTAAGGTATTCTTATTTTGTTTAACAATGCTAGCTGAAATGTTGTTCTAACCTACCGCATCAGGGTCTTTAAATCCATTTACGAGAGCTAAGATTTCATTAATATCCATTTCCTACAAAACATGATACAATACAGGTGAACAGTAATTAGTAGGATATATTTCCCCTTTCCATATAATATCCATCCGTGTTACATTTATATTTTCCGCTAGATTTTTCCCTATGCTAGCAAAATAAGTATTCACTGATTTTACACAATTAATGGTAGTGGTATCCAATGACAATAAATCGTGAGTTGTAGCATTTTTGGATTTCAAGTTAGTAATAGAATTTATCATATTATTATGTATGCTAGTCATTATATGTACATATGTAAATAATATGATTGACTTACGTCATAATGCCGACATTTTTTAACTGATATTACTATGCTTAAAATTCATATAATACTTTATATGAAACGAGCGGATTGTATGTCGTACTATAACTTTTTTGACGACGAAGCCTTATTTGCTATTAAATATTGATTGAAAAAATATAAAAATAAGCTGTCTGTTTTATCAAAAAAAGTTCTACTTTTCCTAAATGAGTTTCAACAATAGATCGTTCAAGTATATGTCATGTCAAATTATATTCAAGGAAAAATTTTAGATTATTATTAATATATAAATTATTATATGTGCATAATAATTTAAAACAAAATAGTTGTTTTCGTCTGTCTGTTTCTCTTTTTCACACTTCTACACTACGATTATAATACGGGTTTAAAGAATATATTATTTATAGAATTTGATACAAAAGTTTTGTATCTATAATATAATATACACTAATATATGCATAGTTTACAAGCTCCGTCACATGCACTTTACACTCGAGTGAAACCGAATTGTATCGCTAGTATTATGTAAAATCTAGATGGAGAACAGGAAAACGGAATTGTTATTGTGTGCTACTATTTATATATTGTTACATTTTGCGTCCTATATATACCATATGACAATGTATATATATACCATATGTAATGTAGTTCACATTTCTCGTTTTAATAAGATTATAATCATTATGTGGTGTAAAATTTTTTTTTTCCTAATTAGTTTCCTTACTTCTGGTGTATTATGTGAAGATTATAATGGTAAGTGCAAAGACATCTAATTATAAATTACTATCTACACATGTAATATATTATAGTCGTCATGTGATTGGAAAATATAATGACAAAAAATATTAAGAAGTTATTAATTTACATTCTATACGGAACAATTTTTTATATAATATCTCGTAAATTGACTGGGTCCGGGTCAGCTTAGATTTTTTTTCTAAGTAACTGTAATCACAAGCTAACGGCCCACATGATGGAAAGTAGTATTTGTAGCCTCCCTCTGTGATACCCCATATATGTGTTAAGGTTCACATCGATATTGTAGAAAAATCTATAATTTAAAAATATTTAATGAAGATAGTTTCATTATTACACGGCATCGTTAAATTAGTTACGTATAACCCCTACGCATCTCTGTAGAGGTGGGAGTTTTTGTAAACCACGGCATTCGGTCAACGAGCACAGAACGTGCCGGTTGTATTTTGGTTACTAAAGTGAATTTTATTAGAGACGGGTTTATCCCGGATTCAGTTGGGCCTGCAGAGAAACTACAAGTAGTGAAGGTGAGAGTTAATGTATTCTAAAAATGCCCTTTAAACCTACATTCGTGTCACAAGTTACGGGTTTCTCTTCGGGTAACAGGCATCAAAGCCTAAGTCGTCATCATAACTAGTTTGGTTTGGTTGCCATTCCTGAGGACTAAGAGTATAACATTTAGATGTGCTAAGGAATGGCAATCGTACCCTTTAATTATCGTACACGACCTCCGTAACATAGTACTGTACCTTCGAGGCGTGTCTAGTCTATTACTGATTGAGTTGTATGGTGTAGTTTACATTGATAATTTAGGATGGAGAACCACCACAGATGTAGGGATGTCGTGAATGTGACAACAATGTGTACAACAGTTTTGTTATCTGAGTTACACCCTTTCCAGGGAATGAGGATTAAATCTTATCACACTTATTAAATCGTGGCAATTTCAAAAGGAGTTTATCAGAATAGAGCCCCTAATACCAATTAGTAACGAACCGTGCGTGTGGAGGAGCTACAGGAACTATATTATAATGCACGGATGGAAGGACTTGTTTTCATGGCAATAATTATTAATTACATATATGATATTCATTTCAGCATACAGGAATATATCTTCCGTTCATTACCATGATTATTACAATTACAATGTGAGCTGTAATAGTAGTACTCACTGGCTGCATATTAATGGTAAGTCAATAAGGTAAATATATCAAGCGCCACTAAAGTTGAACTTCGACTGATTGATTGATTGTAACAATCATGAGAAAAATCAGAAAAAAATATCTATCCTATACAGTTTGAAAATTATGGGCATTTTAGAAAAACCTAGATA